TGCAGTATCCTTTGTCTGCCTCTGCTGGTGTCCACAGCACCCTGCACCACTTGTTCCCTGGGCTGTGGAGCTGGGATGTGTGCCCGTGCTTGGGGTGGGTGGCAGCAGCACAGATTGCCCTTGGCCTTGCTCTGTGATAAGGCACTGTCTCGGGGCACACCATTTCAGACAAGGCAGCAGTGCCCAGGGCAGCCACCGTACTGCTGCTTTGCGGCCGAGCCTCGGTGGTGGGAAGGAGGAGATGTCTGCTCAGGGAACAAACATGCCTCAGCCTGGCCTGCTCTTAACTGCGGGGTGGGGGGTCCTACCCTGCAGCTTCCTGGGGCATGAGCGGGCATGATACAAGCCGTGTGAACTCCTCCCTGCTCTCCCACACCTCCACGTCAGGGGTCTGACAAGAGCTGAGCCATATTTTAATAAAACGCTGGTAAAGAAACCCGCTCAGCGCATGGCCCGTGGGCTGTCCGCCAGCACCGCGCTGCCCGGCGCAATTAACAACACTCAAAACGAGCAGCTGCTGAAGAAAGCGGCTGGCTCAGGGCACAAATGTCCCCCCACAGCAAGCAGGGGCTGGTAAGGTTGATGTTCATGGTAAGGAGCTCATTGGATGCAATGAGGTCCTCTCCAGCATCCCGCAGGGCCTACTCCTGGGGTGGCTTCCACACCCACCTGGGACGTGGTCCGTCAGCCCTCAGACACCGTCCAGGTGGCTTCTCCCAGCACCTGTCACTGTCCTCCTCCACCCCGGCGAGCAGGCTGAGGACATCCTTCCCCAAACAGGGTTGCATTTCAGAGACCTCCCTCTTCCATTATCCAAAAAAAAAAAAGAAGTATATATTAATATTTAATTGCCTCCAGGAATCATACAGTGAATATTTTTCCCCAAATGACTTTTAAATGAACCTTCGTTATGAAAACCTGCATTATCCTCATGTATTATTTTTACTGTAAGAGGAAAAAAACCCTAGTCTGTGTTGACTCTCGGTCCCCCTATTTCACTCTGCAAGAAGTGGGAGAGGGAACTGCAATTTCGAAGGGAAAACATCTCTTTTCTGTGTAGCTTTTTTAGCTTTATCAAGCTTGGCAGCTTCCCTAGTTCCCCCTGGTTGGGCTGCATGAGCTCCTGGGTTTCTTGCCAGTCCCGTGGCACAAAGCCCTGGCCTTGATCTGGTTGCCTAGAGGGAAAAAGGGCTGCCTGCCCACCCGCTCCGGAGTTTTCCAACTGACTGCCCGATGTCTAGAGGCCTGAGGACACGGCCGCAGGGCAAGCTATGTGAGAACAGGCTGCTCTGAGCATCCCCAGGAAAGGGGCACTGCAGGGCCAGCACAACCTCTCTGGAACACCAGCAAAGCCACCTGCGAGTCGGGACAAGGGGCAACAAGTCCTATCACCAGACCAGGGCCCTTAAAGTCAGCTGCTGGTCCCACCACACAGCCAGGCAGGGACTGACGACCAGGAGCCCACAAATTCCTGCCTGCTCTCCAGCACTGCCGTGGCCCCAGAGACACAAGCCAGCCAGATGGACTCAAGCAAACACAGGGTTTGGTTCCAGTACAGCTCGAGTGGTTTTCTTTTAATCCCAGAGAAGTGAAATGCAACATTTGTTCGAGTTGGTAACAACATCCAGAGACAGAAGTCCAAGCCCCCTACTCAGTAGAGTCATTTGTGTTTAAGGCACTCTGCAAAACCAGCTTTCCTCTTCTCCTCCTTCTGATTTTCTCCACGCGGCAGCAGAATACCTGGTTTGGTCTCTTCTCCGTAGCGACACCCGCGCGTCCTGGCTCTTCTCACCATCTCCAGAAATTGGCAACAGCAAATCCAGCGGGAGCCGAACGGAGAAACCCCAGGAGGCCGGGTCAATAAATAACAGACGGGCACAGGAGGGAGCACAGCGCCTGGGGAGGGGGCACAAGGGGCTTCGAGCTTCTGCAGGAAGGGGACAGGCACCGTGTGTCCTCCCTGCAGGCACCAACGTGATTCCCCTTCCTTTCTCCCCTCTGGCTCCAAAAAGGGACGGGAGCACAGGGGCACACAACCATCTCTCCCCAGCGGTGCTCCCAAACATGCGGCAGCACCCCAAAATGCAGGGGGCTGGGTTGGGGGGGGACACGACCCAGCTGCCCCTGCCATGCAGCAGAAATGACCCCCCTGACTTCCAGCCGTCAATAAATACCAATAAATAACTTAAATAAACCTTAAATAAATAAGTAATAAATAAATAAATAAGTAACCCGAGGGTGGGGACGGAGGGGAAGGGGCAACCCCGAGGCTCAGGGCGAGAGGGGATGGGGAGGGCAGGTGTTTCCATGACCTCCCCCCCCTCCCTGAGATAACAGGGTGCTGGTACAAAAGAGGGGCGCAGGGAAGGGCTCCCACTCAGGGCACCTGTCAGCACGGCTGCGGGCCACGGGGATGTGAGCTGAACCCGGATTCGTACCGGGGAGCTCTCACCCGCTGCTTCCCTCCCCTTGAGCATCACCAGCTGCACCGGTCAGTGCTACCACCGCGCTCAGGGAGATGCATAACCAGCACCTCCACCCCAGTGTGAACACACACCTTTTTTGAACATGCAAAATGTCTGCAGATTTTTGCAAACATCGTTTGCAATATTTTTTTTGCAAACAATTTTTCCAAATCTTTTTTCTTTTTAAACGGGGAAATGCCCATGAAGACAACCCATGCATGAAACCCAGTTAGGTGCCTCAAATCCAGCCCTCGGAGGAGGAGTGAGCACAGGAGCCCGGAGAAGGGAACACAGGCACGGCCCCGGGGCTCAGCCAGAGCCTGCCTGCAGGCTGGGGAGCCTTGGGAGCCCAGGCACACAGCTGTGGCCGGGCACTGAGCCTGACACCAGCACCAGACGGCATCGAGCACCTCCCTGGGGATGCTGCAGACACACACGGACAGGAACAGCGGCCGCTGCTGTCTTGGTGTCATGCCAACACAGCAGACGATGTGCCAAGGCTCCAGCCGGGCGGCGCATCCCAAAAGACAGCAATGAATTCAAGAGCATCCCCGCAGCAGCATCCCTGCTCTCCCTGCCAGCTGCCACCACGGCGGTGCCGCAGCAGCTCCCTGGGCTGACGGCCGGCGTGCAGCCCCCCAGCGCAGCCCCAAAGCCTTCCCCGCAGGTTTTGGGGAGCTGGCTCACTCAGCATCCTCTCCTGGCTGGGAGCCCACCTCGGGGCTACCCATTTGTCAGGGAATCCCTTCCCTCTGGCATTTTAGCTCTGATGCTGCCAGAGACATTTCTGTCCCGTTGGGTCAAAAACACACATCTGCCTTATTTCAAACCAAAAGGTACTTACCCCTCCCTCTCCCCCAAATCTTAAGGAAAATTGTATTTAAAGTTTCTAACCCACTTCCACACACACTATTTGAAAAACAAAACAGAGGTGATGGCAAAAACTGCCATCGATCACGAACCAGGACAAAACCACGGGCAGACACAAGAGCGGGACACCTTCCCACACCAGCAAGCTCCCAGTAAAAGTTTTGCTCCAGGAAACACAGCAAACCAAAGCTCAGAGACCCCTCTCCCTGCAAATATTTCCCACCGTGAGGCCGTAGGCCCCAGCAAAACCCAGACGTAGGCACGGAAAGCAGCAGGTCCCCAACCAGCCACGAGGCCAAGCGGGAGGAGCAGGAACCGCCGGCCCCGGCTGGGGGAAGTGTGCGTCGAGGCGTCGAAATGCAACACTCCCAAAGGGAAAAATAAATAAAGAATCGAATAAGCAGCAAACACTACTGAGAATAGTAAGTAGCGTGGGGGATTTCACAGGGATTTTTGGTCTGAGATGCCTGTGGGGACTGGGGTGATAATCCCACCCTGGAAAAGCACAAGCTGTGGCTGAAGCTTTGCAAGGAGCTCGGCCGCGCTGAGGAGCGACGCCGCGGGGGTGTGCGGGCACACTGCGGGGACCAAAGCAGCACTGGGCTGGCCATCCCCACAGCCAGGCTGAGGGCAGAGCTGCGAATGCTGCAGGAAAGGCTTTGCGTGGAAGTGCCGAACACGGTGACCCTTCCCAGGCTCTCCTGGCAGAGGGACAGAAGATGGGACCCTCCCAGCAGGAATTACTCACGTCCCCAGGGCAGCGCAGGCAGTGGTGGGAGCCAGAGGAGCCGCAGGGCTCGCGCCGGGACAGAGGACGGAGGGGAGAAAGCAGCGAGAGCCATAACCATGTGCCCAGGCACGACAGGGCACCTGGGCCATGGGCAGTGCACCTGCAGCTTTTGCCTCCACTGCATCTCGAGGGCAAGATGTCAGGAATTGCGGACCGCAGCCCACCCCACTGCCCTGCGGACCAGATGATGCCAGCGATCCAGGCAGCGAGGGGTGAGGAGAAAGGCAAATAAACCCCTCTGTTACCCCCCAAACACCTGTAGCCGCAGGAGGCAGTGCCCAGGCAGCGTGCTCGCCTCCTTCCCAGGCAAACCCAAGCCTGCCCCGCGGAACCTCTGCTCACATCCCTGCCTCTGACCCACGAGAGGAGACCCCCAGCCCTGCAGAGCTGGGGAGTTAGCGCTAGGCATGCCGTCCCCTCCACTGGTGTCCCCACCTGTAGCCACCCTGCTCCTGAGGGTGGCTGAGGAGGAGGGTCTCCACGTGAGCCAGCATTTGCGTGGAAAAATAAGCAAGCAGCCAACTTCTCGCAACAGACTTGGGTCTGCAGAGAAAGTGTGTGAGTCCCGGGGTACAGATCTGGATACCCCATGGTAGCAAGCGCCTGCTCGCCCTGCGCTGGGTGAATGGGCACCACTCCTGATTTCTCACACAGCAAGAATCGGTTCTGCTTCCATGAAAGAAGGGCTGGCGGGATTTGGGG